TATAAGAGAGACTTTACAGTTAATAATTTTCACATTTTTAGTTCTTACTAATTTTATTACAATTAAAAAAGTGGTTTGTTAAGGTTTAATCACCTGAATCTGCATTCTAACGCGGTTCTTTCTAACGCGGAAAACCCAATATTAGGGAAACACCCAGTCAGTAAGATCCTTGCACGGTTCAAATAAAGTTAAAAGAAGTAGTTCAGGACTTCTTTTTTTCATTAGTTAGTATTTCAACATTAACTTAGAAGTTTCAGTTTCATTATCAGATATTTGACCAACTGGAATGATGAAAAGAAATGTTTGTTCTCTGAAAATTCTTCCCTTCCCCAGAAGGCAAAACACGACATGCTCTCTAACTTGTATTTAATCCACTCTTTGCATCTTTTCGAAGTTAGAGAAATCCAATTCAGACTTATGAATTATCAGTTCATGCAGCAATTGAAAATTTGATTAAGAGAAATTCTCTAAAGAATTTTTAAATTGGTAGAGATTAATGCCAAATTCTGAGAAGCAAAGTATGGGCATTAAAATTTGTACTCCTATTATTTCTAAAAAAATAACTATTCATATGGGTGAAATGAAAGAAAAATTAAATAATATTAGATGGAAGACTCAATCTTATGTTAGAATAGTAACGTTTTAAAACTAAGAATAGAGAAATACCTCGTTAAAAATTGAGCAAATTCACTGCTCTTTGCCTAGCATCAATAAAAATGCATGAAGTTCTTATATATTCAAAAATCAAAAACAAACATCAAACTATAGCCGTAGAGAGTAAATACACAATTTTTTTTCTTAGAAAATTTACATACAAATTTCTCGTTTTATTTGCTAGTAATATTCTTTTAGTGTTCTATTTATTGTGTAGTTTTGTGATAGTTGATGTGATATTGTGTAGTTTTGTGTAAGTGTAAGTGATTTATTGACCTTGCAACAAAGCTCAATATTTATTCGAATTTTCGCAGATATTAAAAACTGTCATTTCTAAATGGGTGTAGCTAGAAAGAAGTTGCTTTGCCGCCGAAGACACTCTTTTTTCGTCTTTTGAATACTGTAAACAAGTAATTCATTTTATTTATTTATTCGTAAGTATAATGATGGATTGCCTGGTGCGCTGACGCACCTAGGGCGGTAAAGGGAACACCCGAGCTAAGTTCTTGGGCTGTCAGGAGAAGGGCAGCGCAGCTTAGAACACGCGGCTTAGGAATGTACTCTTCCAAAAATAGACGCAAAATAATGCCTTGAACGCTGCCGAGTTTTATCTTACTTTAAAGCTAGGTCCTTTACACAAACGACAATGCTCACCGCTTATCGAAAGGCATTTCTGGTGAAGGCGTGAATGTGTTCAAAAGTCGGCAGGTAGTTGGTTTAGAGTAGTTCGTTTAAGTATGAAGAAGTTCTTACAAAAAAATAAAAATGAATTTTATTCTTTGATAAATATCTGCTTTACAATCATTATAGGCGTTCACAATTTTTTGAGGTGTTGGTTTTAGCAAGATCAGAATTTAGACTCGAAATCAGCTAAAGAATTGTCAACTGAACCCCATGAAATTCCGGGTGACTCCACCCTCATACCTCATATAAACCACCCTCATACTTCTAAACGTTCACGATGTCAAAATGTAGTTTTCACTCATCAATACTGATGCAGTAATATGGCGTAGAGATATTGTTCATAATTTGGTTTTGGAGAAATTCAATTATTTTTTATTTCTTAAATGGTACTACAAATCATATCTTGCAAATAAACAGATATTTATGAATTTTAGTTTAATTAAATCCTATTCCAAGATTATCTCATAAGCACTGTCTCTTAGAAGGAAGGAAGCATTTCTTTTCTCATGCTATTTCGTGGGAGTCGTGTAGTTGGGTAATTCGGAGCTCAGTTCCCTTAATTCGCAATAAAAACTTAAACATAAGCATAGCGCATAGACATAAACATTAACATAAGCGATAGACTAAAGTATTCACAATGCCTAACAAAAAACGTAAGCAAAATAGGTTTCTATTGGCTGGGAGACTTTCTGGTTGGATGTGAGAATCGATTTCTAGATATCCACTGCATCTATGTCCCATATGGCGTTAGTTCTTCTATCGACGTCGCTCCAATTTCGATTCTTGATTTTGAGTTACCGGTCTGTAATTGGTTCATTTTTTATGTCTTACGTAAGCATAAGCGCAGAAGCTTCCTGACAAAATGGGACTTTCAAATGGCGGCTGTCTACGGACACAGCCCGGGATCTGTGATACTTGCGAAATGTTTCGTTGCAGGAAGTCCAGAGCTACCTACTGTCGGGTTTTGGAACTCTATCTCCAAATACGTTACCTCCGGTCCTCCTACTGGGTGCAGTGGTGCACAAGACCTTTTCCATGATAAGGTGTTATCCTTCAAATCTTTGTAAATTTCTTTCTATAGTCTCAAAGTTGATTATAAATTTATATTTCTAATTATGTTTCTATTTAAAATGTTATCTTTAATGTCTTGTAGTGTGTGATTGATATTTCAAAAAGTCAAAAAATCTGATTTCTCGAATATTAAATTTATTAATATTCCCCAGTTTTCTTTCCACGGCCCCTCCACTTCCCATTCAACAATTGTGTGTCCCATCTCAAAAGTGATACGACCTGATATCACGCATGGTTCCTTCACACACACACACACACACACACCGTTTCAGAGTAGCCAGGCAAATTGCTGTGAACAACAATATGGGGAAGTCGGATGTGGATCGCCCAAGTAATGAAAATATGGCCAGCAACCATATTAAGTTATTAAAAATTATTAAAAATACTGATTATCTAAAAGAAAAATAATGTTTATTTTGACAAAACAGTGATATATAATGAATTAGTTAACATTTGTATGGTATACATTTTTTAAAAACACTTAATATGTTTGAAATAAATAATGTACTTCAGCTTCCGGGTCAATGACTCCCATCTCGATCAAGCTTTTGGTTAGTTTCCCTGATCCATTGAGCAAATGCTGAGATGGCCTCCTTGTTTAGCTTCCGGACGTAAATGTAACTTCACTATGCGCACGTTTTGTTGAACTCTCCTTTTGATTGTGATGGTAGGAGTAGAGGTAAGGGCGCGTTACTATTATGTTAGCAATATAGTAAAATCATACTTGCAATTCGTTTACCGATGCAAAAAAGTTTTCTATAACTCGAAAACGAAAATGTTTATTTTTTCAAATATTGCTAATCTTGCTATTTTTAAAATGTAGTTTTATTTATTTATGTTAAACTTTTACTCATCTTACAACTATTTATAGTTACAATGACGGGAAGGGATTCTGGAACTCAAGAAAACGTGCGCAGATACTCTTTTCCCCCACACGTTACCTACAGTTTTTACTGTTTTTTATTAGATAAATCTAAATGTTGTTGTTGCCCTTGAGGCCTTGCAAGTTGGACACCTCTGCCTTATACTGAAAGGTGCGACTGGAAGGGAATGTGGCTATGGCTTCTTCACTGATAATCTGCTTTGTACTGACTATGTCAATGTATCAAAAGTAAAGCAGAAAACAAAATTTAAAGTACTCTTGAAAGGAAAAACTTTGATCTTTCTGTAAATTGACCAAAATTCTGCAATACATATCTACAGCCGTGACCGGGCCGTCGAACTGTTTCGCGCAGTGTCGGGTCACATGACTTTCGGAGTCGTTGGCACCCTCTCGTACACAATGTTTTCCACTTTCTCTCTCAGAAAAAATCTTGAGACGTGAAATCTGGAGAATGTGCAGGCCAATTTAATTCCCTCCTTCTCCTCCCTCCTACCAATCAATTTGGATATTCTTTGTTCAGAATACGCTTTGGCATTGAGCCAAATGTGTAGATCACACCTCAGGAAGGAGTACAATAAATATTTTAATTTTTGTTTTATACTTTAGTCAGATGACATTCCAAGAAATATTTAGATTAACACTAAGAATTGCGTTAAAATATGACGCCTTTTTTTCTTCTTCTGGAAAATTTCATTACAGCCGTTAAGAAATGAAATGGTAATAAGATGCACGTTGTATGAAGACGTATTTATGAAGGAAATATATTGCGAAGTAGTATAAAAAAGTAATGCCTTCATTGTAAAATAAATTTTAAAAATACAAACAATTTTATAATAAAAAATTGAAACAATAACAACCACACCAAAGAAAATCTGATCGCTACAATAGTTTCACGCGACATTCCTCAGGCACGGAGCAAGTGTCCTCGCACCCGCAAGGTCCCTAATCATTTAGAAAGTCCATCTCCGGGCGGCAGCATTCCGTGCGAGCGAGGTTGCGTCACTCTCCACGCTACACCCCAGCACGGAACGGGTTTATACGGCAGGTATTTTGCATTCTGACGATAAGGTAACACATTTTTTAAATATTATTTTATATAGTGTATTACAGGCTTTCAGCACTGAAAAAAGTTATCAATTTGCCTCTTCGTGGAATACAAGTTTTAACTCCTTAAATCATACTTTTATTAATTTCATAATATCCATTTAATTCGTAATAATTCAGACAGTATAGTCTTTTTAATTTATCTTTCAAATTGATTTTGTGAGGTTTTATTTATTGAACAATTAATATTGAGATCTAGCAAATAGCAATTTATTTGGTCGAACTTTGAAGCCAACTAGGCATTTAAACAATTTTTTTAATTAACTGATATTTTGGCCAATATTTTAAAAACAGTATTTTTCGCCATCGCAAGCGGTTCGGCGCTTTTCTACAGTTGAGACGCGTGGTGCCCCTCGTCTCTGCGCCGGGCGCGGCCGCACGGCGCGCCCCTGGCGGCAGAAGGCCGAAACTGCGGGCTATATCGGCGCGCGCGGCCGGCAGCGCCCCAGTGCACGCGCGGCCAGGCCAGGGCAGGGCAGCAGAGGACGCGACGGCGCTCGCTCGAGGAGTCTCCGTCGCCGCACACGTGGCCCGGCCCTACCACCCCCTCCGCCCACCGCGCTCACTCACAGCTCGAGCACACACATGCGTCACCGCGGAGACTTATCGCCCTTTTCGGAAACACACGCCCGCCTTTAGGCTATTTTTGGCCTGCCCAGTCTACTTCGTCCCAAGCATTCGCTCTGGTCTATTTCTGTTTTCTGCACCCGCTTCCGTTTCATATTTCGTCTCGCTGCTTCTCGATCTTGAGATCGTCGCTCTTGATCATTGCTGATTTTATTTTTCACTTTTCACTCTCCGAGCACCTTATATACTTACTCTAGTCGCGTTGTCCCACTTCCATACCTGGATTTCATCTGAATTTATATTCAAGTTCTTTTGGCGCATCTCCCTCCGGCTCCGGCAGGGTCCAGTGACCTCGCCCTAACGGCTGTCCTTCCGTCGGATCAATACCCTTCGGCCTCGCCCTCGGCCTCGTGAGCGCTGTCTGGCGGCGCCATGTTCAAGCTGGAGGCGAGCTGCACCGCCGTCGCGCCGCAACCGGCGTTCGCGGCGGCGTTCGAGCCGGCGGCGTTCGAGGCGCGCCTGCCGGAGAAGGCGGGCGCGCCGGCGCCCCGCGTGTGCCCCATGGCGAGCGCCCAGCTCCCGCCGCCCTCAGCCACCAACCCCTGCACCAGCGCCTCCAACGGCAGCCTCGCGCCGCCCGTCAGCCGCATCTGCCGGCGCGCCAGCGCCGTCGACCTCACCGTCGACTCCGCGGAAAGTCGCGTGCTCGTCATCTACACCGGCGGCACCATCGGCATGATGCGCAACGAGCAGAACGGTAAGAGCTTGCAAATTACGAAATTGCGCAAGGCCACGTTTTGACACTTTGACACATTGCCAGTTAGTTCTATCCTTTGTCAATGATTTTTGTGCTTCCCAAGTGTCGAAGTATCCATCTTGACACTTTGGCAGCACAACTATCCCTGAAATAACTCTCCACATGACATTCAGAATGACAGGAAAATCTCATTGTTAAATGTATATTTCTGTAAATATGGAGAGAAATCGAATTAACGTGTCAACTTAGTCTTGCGAAATTTGGAAACTCACGTCTTCTATTCCTTTTGAGCATCCGAGAGAACTGAGCTGATGAGATAAGAAGTATCTTAATCTTTTTGTGAATCAAAAATTCTCTAACGCCATGGATACCACGTGACAAATTATTTACCTTTGTTACATAAAATTTCTATTTAAGCGTTGACAATGAATGCGCTATTATTGTTCTTCTTGGATTACCTGTTAACTGGAGACAAAAAAGAACTAACTTTTTACATTTAAAAAATGAAAAGTGATTCAATAACTCTGAAAATAATAATGATTTGGTCTCATCACATATTTCCTATTCTCACAATTTTCTATTAAACACTTCAATGTTTTGAACTGTTTAGTAATTTTAGCCGCGTCTATTATCTATGACATTGTTTTCTCGAGTTTTGTTTGGTAAAAACGAGAAAAGAGAGAAGGGGTTATTTCAACGACAGTACTTTCATATCAATTCTGTGGCTAATGCCAATAGTTTCTATTACACGTGAGAAAATCTCTTATTAAGAGTTGCCTACTAAGTTTCTTGCTGTCTTTTATTATAATTTAATTTTGCAGTGTGGTAAAAAAAGTGGTTTCCACCAAATTCTGGAAGAGGTTCATAGAAAATGGCATTGCCAACTCCAACACAGAATTAGTTGCTTTTTTTAAAATCTGCCAAATTCTTTAAAATGGCAAAGCTCCAAATACTTTTCAGTGAAGGTCTATAAATTTCATTATTATGGTACTATTTTATTGAAGAGGAAAGAACATTTTGACGTATGTTGTGATATGTCAATATCAAAGTGCGTCTTCTGAAAATGAAAAAACGGGAGTACTTTCCTCCCACGTGCTCACGCCGGCTGAGAGGGAGCGCGTTTGGCGATATCAATCGTTTCGCGTCTGCCGAGATTTGAACCTGCAACGGCAAGTGATAGTCACGTGGCACTGATTAATCATTATTTTAACACATTAGGAAATAAAATAACGTTACCTACTTCTCTGGGTTTATTTTTTCTTGTTTTGGTATGATTCTGTAAAAGTAAATAAAATTGACAACTATTGTAAAAATACTGCGGTTCAATATTATAGAAGGTTCCTTGAACCATTTGTTTCAGTACCAAAAAATGATATAAACACATAACATGAGGTGCATTTTGTGTACGTATGATGCATACAAATATTATTGATTCTAAGCAATAAACGGTAAAAATTAGTATCCTCAACTTTCATTTTGTTGAATAATATCGTAGCGTATGACTCAGTTATATCTGGCAGTTTGCTGTTGAATCCAATTCCTAGAAAATAATATGGATAAAAACATAATTGATTTTCTATCTCAGCAGTCGTCCGTGACGAAAACTTCCATCGAATTTCTTCTTAGACGTAAAACGAATCTATTTGTGTTTTAAATTGTATGTTTCCGCGCTTCTTCGTCAATGGAAATAATATTATTTTTAAAGGTCTCCGAAAATATTTTGACTTGCTGTAGAACTGACTGTTGGTTTCCACATGTACTAATCTATTTTCGTATCATATACGAGATCCTCATAATAAACTTTTGCCTTTGGTAGCCTAAGAACTTTCCATGGAAGAACGTTTGTCTTTCCTCATTATCTGCCAAGAAGATCGTGCACTATGTCTGCAGTGTGAACACTGAGATTGCGCAGTTAAAAAGATTATGTAGGATGGAAGGATACAACCAACAGTTTCATAATCATGGTTGCCAAGGCAATGTGTCGAATTTGAAAAGGTTCCAGAAGTATGGCAGAACGTTGGAAGTGGAACCAAGGAATTCATAAAATAATAATGTGTACGAGTATTCTTATAATTTTGTTCATAATGATTGTAATATAATATACATTGAACACATAGATTTCAAAGATTATTTCAAGTGTCCCAATATTCAATAGGCTTTGATTTTGGGATGTGGACTATGTATTCATGCCCTAGAAGTCACTTGATCTTAGTCATGAAAGTATTTAAATAAAGTTACTTTACGTAGATATTCTCACTAACGAAAGGGGTGACGCCTCTAAATTGATAAATTAAGGTCAAGTCCTCTTTTATCGAAGGTACATACGATAGTTTCGTATTAAAGTAATTTCAATAAATACGGATGTGTTAAAACTCCGTCGTGTACTGTGTAAATTTACACAGACCCGGACATTACTAAGCTTCATTACTTGACTGAATATAAGAGTTATAATACCAGGAAATCATCACTTGCATCTTCTTTCGAGTCAACAAATATTTAAGAAAGTAGTTCTGTTTATTATTATTATTATTATTATTATTATTATTATTATTATTATTATTATTATTATTGTTGTAAAAATAGCTTTGTTATGATACAAAGAGTAGCAGTTTGCAATTTCATTGTCATTACACCTTTTAGACGACTAAAATTTCATTTTATATCTTTGAGGGGACATTGACATTTCAGTGTCCTCTCAATGATGCAATAAATGAACAGCAAACATTTTTGCAACTGGTGATATATTTTATGTCTGTAGAAATACGATTTTGCCAATTATGTAGCTTCATGTCACCCATGACCACTCTTTTGAAATCAATTGATTAAAAATTCACTTCGGTATCGAAAATTCTAATTTCGGAGGCGGCCTTAGATCTGATTAACTCGCTCGGCATTATTACACCGCAATCGAATAATTGTTTTAGTACAATGACCTATTGCGCAGTTCCACGTTGTCGAATTGTTTCGACTAAGAATGACGTCTGATGCGATAGAGACCCAATCGGAAGCGTACCCCATGTGAACTCGGAATTCTTTCACATCTGGCCACTCGGAAAATACCGCTATGTCGACTTGCGGCTTGGTAGCAGATGGATCTGGTTCAGATGACCTCCCTGTGATGAAACGACAAGAGAATTCATTCAGGTTGTGACTGAATTTAAATGCGTTAATGAATTATCTTAAGTTGTGTTCTAATCTGCTTCGTGCAGCATGAGTGGAAATATTTTGCGAAGTGTTGTACGTCGATACAAATCGCATAACCTAATTGTTTTTACTCGTACTAAGAGAACGTAAGATTCCGCGACTGGATGCAATAAATTGACTCTCCAGAAGACACAGCGTCCTAGGAACAGTTGTTACGGCCGTCATACCGTCATTCCGTCATTCCTCAAACACTAATTCGTGATTGTTCCGTTCGACGACACATCTTTTGTGTTCTGCATGATCGTCAAATATAAGGTTACGGATTAAAAAGGATAGATGCAATAAACTCAAACTATTTCGTAATGAATTGAAGGGAGGTCTACTCTTCAAATGCCTTGTCCAGAAATCGATTATTTTTATTTATGAAGGTAACTGTAATGAGGGCACGTTTTTATGACCCTCCCTGGTTGCAGCTTTAGTTCCTGTGCCCAACGCCCTAGTGAGGACGCTGAGGAGGAACCCTGTTCTGCACGACGAGGTGTACGCCAGGACGAAGTTCCGCCACAAGGAACCCAGTCCTCCTACGCTTGTGTTGCCGTAAGTGTTCCCAATAGAATGGCTAAAATTAAAACAGGTCGATTTAAATCCCTTAGTACGTCACGAATTTAAACTTTCTTTTTAAAGTCCTTTTTCAACTGCTCGGTCTCATAGCGAGCACAATAATTTTTTAAACTTTGGAGTAATGGTGGGGAACACATACACAAACATCCATGCCTAGGCAGGATTCAAACCCGCGATCCTTAAGCCTAGGCAGCTTTGCCCCTTTAGCCTTAGCGACCTCGGCTATCTAGGCCGGCTTAAACGTTTTTAAAACGCTTATTGAAATGAGTTGGTTTGTTGGGATTTTTTAAATTAAATAATCACATGATTGATATTTTGACGGTGTTTCTCTATTAATTAAAAAAATACTAATTCCATGTCATTTGTGATACTTATTGAAAGTTTGAAAATTGAAGTAACTTTGGGTTAATACTCTGCGTAACGAATCAAGATTTAAAAGTTCCCAATATCGTGTTAAGCTGGAAAAAAATACAATTCAACTTATATTAAAATTAAATATTTTGAATTACGCAATTATTTACTTGGCTCATTTAAAAATGAATTTCACTTTAACTTCAACCTATTGAGTATATAAAAAAACGGGAAGGGAATAGGGACAATCAAGGAGAAATTTTTACTTTGGAAGGGGTTGGATGCATGCACGAAGAGGAATTTATTGAATAAGGAAGCAGAGAAGATGAGGTTAGAAGCTGATGCTAGGAAAAGCAATGAAGCATGAGGAGGAATTGCAGAAAGAAGGTTGGGAAACGAATAAGAATACACCTGTCAGTCTGAGAACGGGAAAGAGAAAAAAATATGTAGAAAGCATTGGCTGAAGAAGAGGGGGATATTGAGAACACTCCTGAATTTCGAAAAATTGCACTAGACCGAATATATCTTTGGAGAACAGTTCCTTACAGAAAAATATTTATCTTCAATATTGTTGCTGTAGCAAAACGCCGAAAAAATGTAAACCTTTACAATTTCCGAGTATTTATTGTGTTCAACTAAAATGAGACCAGCGCCATCTTTTTCAATTGTACTTTTTTTCTATCCGAGATCAAAGGTTAAAAAAATTGAAAATATAATTTTTTTCCTTACTGAGAACTATGCCCGTAGTGTATAGAGCAATTAAAAAAGCGGCAATGAGGTTAGGAATATTCGATGAAAGAATATAAGTTGTGTATAATTTGTAGGCAGAGGGAAGAACATTGGAAACGCTTGTTGAAGAGAATTGTTTACGGAACAAAAGAGAATCATAGAGGAGAGTGGAGATTACAATAGAAGTTTAAAATAATATTGGTTGGAACTGGAAGGGATGTTGAATGATTGGAGCGTTTTAGAAGTACAATGAGGGGATGTATTTGATATAAAAAAGCGAGCCGGATTAAGATGTTCATTTCTAAATTTAAAAAATATGATACACATGGGGGAAAAAAGTAATAAAAATTAAAAATCAAATAATAACCCGGTCTTATTTTTGTTTTCACCGCCATCGTCTTTTCCCGGAAAATTATAGCACTAATGTATTAGAAATTTTCCTTTTTTAAATTATTTAAATCTTCAAGGATATTACATATTGTATTTCTGTAAGGAGACAAAATGTCAAATTTTATAAATATATGTGAAAGGACTTTCTTAGACTAGTTTCCTCCTTGTTGTTGAAATGAAACACCTGGAGAGCTTATAAGACAGTTTCTTCTCTAGAGGGAATAGACAGTCAATAATATTAAACAGATTAAGAGTTTACGACCAAGCATTTAAATATTCAAGACAATGAATGGCTGTGTTATTTTTCCCTATTACTTATTCCAAACCGCTTTGAAAAATTACCTCTTCGGTTACTTGCCTAATATTTTAATTATCAATTACGAATAAGCAATTTTTAAATTCACTTAACTAATAAAGTACGTGTTTATATGGTCAGCCACTTTTCTTAAGTCCGAGTGAAGCTAACATTTCGTAAGTGGCCCACTGTCAACTCAGGGATCCCTAGCACTGGATGAAGCCTAATGTGCGCAGCAATGAAGTTTAATGAACACCGATGTGGGCTTGTTCTTAAGATCTGAATCTAATCCAGTGTTGTATCATTTGAAATTGTGTGTCTCGAGCGAATAATCGACGATGTTGAAGTAATGAAAATGGCTTTCAAAAAGTATGTGAGAAAGGGCGAGAAGAGAGAATTGTAACATTTCATACACAGGTAAGAGTATAATAGTTCAGTTATGACATTTTATATTCTGTTATTGCAAGAATAAAGACAGAAAAACAAGTTAATGGTATATTTAAAATCATATTGTTAAAAAAGTTCCAAAAGTTATGTGCATATTTTTTCTCAAATTCATAAGATCCTTGTCATTAAAATATCCCGCAATAGTTTTTCGTAAATAAAACCTTTCAAGTCATTAAAAACTTGTGTTAAATTTGTTCCCGAAAGCAAAAAGTTCGATGTTGTGCTCAAAATACTTCTGAAAATTTTGTATTTATCGCTCAGAGTTCGCGGATTGAATTGTCGCCTTTCTGGCTTAGAATCGGACTTTAGGAGCGTGACCGGATGGCGCCCAAACGGGCTTCAGTCTTGTGTATGCTTGGGCAATGAAGATCAGTGTAGTGCACAGTGAAAAACGTTCGTTTCTCGTTTCGGTTTGGTCAGTAATAGACCTTGAAGGGTCTCGTGAAATAACAACTCGGAGCGTCAAAACACTCGTTTGTTAGCGCGACCATAAATGGACTAATCCGAAGCACGTGTTGGCATTTACACGCTACTTTCGGTGTCAATCGTCCTTTTATACGATGCGCAACGCAGACGCCGTGGTCACCTCTGCGCAGGTTTTCGACTATGACATGTCTTTCGGTCTAAAATATGAACAGAATTTAGCACCTCCGTTATGGAGATGTTTGGCCGCAGGCGTAGTTTGTTGTATTGGTCGCGATGACGCACTGCAGCGCTGGAGTTACGTTGCTGCTCACTTGTCACTCTTTCGCTAAACAGTCAAAGTTCGCTGATTAGAATTATCAAACTCGTGTATGATTACCGTAGGTCAAGTTCATATAGTGGAAGTCTTTGGAAGAGTGTCAGATTTACGTGTAGATGGCGTGAACCCATGCTCTCGCAAATTCTGAGTAAAATATAGATAACGCTTATGAAATGATTCTAAAATCTGCATCATAGTGGTTACGCGATATTATCGAAGTGCCATTATTAGGCATATACTAGGTATTGATAAGATTGTTTAATTTGATATTCATACATTTTTCTGATGTAAATAGGTTAAACAATTTTTAATACATTTTCCTGCCTTGCACTTTCGTGACATCTATTCGTAAATAAGCAGGAACCCTTGATGATTTCTGTATATTAGAAATATTAAGTTAATAAAATTTTAGTTGACAGTCAGAATTGTCTTTTCATTCTAAATTATTACTAAGGGAAATGAATCTTTTATTACTAGTCGAATTTAAGGTGTGCCTGCTTTTCGCAACGAGGTGAAAGTAAATTGTTAATATATAGTTATCACCCGATCTCATGTGAACAAAATCCATCTGTGAATGATTTTAATTTTATTGAAAATCGTTCCTCTTTCAAATTATCTTTTGTTTTTCGGTTGTTCGGTTTTGTTATTTCGGTCGATTATACTCTTTAATTAGTGTGAATTATTTATATGAAAAGTGACTTCCAATAAATTAACATTTCTATCAAGTCGCATTTAAAGACTGTTAATTTGGGGGCACCCATTTATCTTTCTCTGCAAAATAAATAAATATTCTCATTGTCATATATTGTATAATCATGAATCCAACGTTCCTTTTCAGGGATACTCAAGAAAGGAATAGGGTAATGTACAGTATTTTGGAGTACAGTCCTCTCTTAGATTCCAGTAATATGACTGTAGAGGATTGGGTTCAAATCGGCAGAGACATTCGCGTAAGTTGAGAAAATTAAATTATATTTAGAAATTCAAAAGCTTGTGTCAACTGCTTAATAGTTGTTTTTTTTGTTTACAGAAATACTACGAACATTATCATGGCTTTGTCATTCTGCACGGTACTGATACATTGGCTTACACCGCATCTGCTCTTTCCTTCATGCTAGAGAACTTGGGCAAAACGGTGATCATCACAGGTTCACAGGTGCATATTTCAGAAAAAGGTTGAAGGCGAGCAAGAAAATATTGTGTAGAAGGCTGAGAAGGTGGTATCTTAGCTCTTACTTAAACTCGAAAGAAAACTAGGTACAGCTAAAGAAAATTACCGCACATGTTAAAACATGTGCTTAGCGAGTCGTCCATAAATTAGGAAACTCTAAAAAAGGGGGCAGGTTTGAAGCAGCGTTACGAAGCTGTGATACCTAGGGTACCGTGGGAATAATTTAGTAAATACTTACGCTGCTATTAATGTTTTGGTTTTCAAGATTTAATAATGTACGCTACTGGCAACATAATGTATGCTACTAAATTCTGGGCAAGGAAAATTGAATGATAAGTACTAGTATCATGTTTCCTCTTAATATTAATACGATCAAGTGAAACAATATTGAAAGAAAATGTCAGTAACCTTTTTATTGGAAGTTTTAAAATCAATATTAATTCAATCTGGATACTTACTTTCCCTCATGGGGGTTGCACGTAAATATATTACAAGAAATAAGAGTGCGTTGATAAATAATCTGTAAATTCACTGGTTACCAAGAGAAGAGTGGATTTGCGAATAATTTTCCATTTTTTTCTTAATACTTATTATCACTATTTCGCAAATACATAAGTCATTTCAAATAAAACTAATAGAACAAAAATAAACGTAAAAAGATAGAGAATTTGGAATTCTGATACCAGTAAATATGTAAAAGACTTAATATCACTACATGTTACAATGATTTCATGGAAGTCAATGGAATATATTGGTTCATATAAAATGAATTTTTCGTAGCTTCATTTATATTTTATATTATTAGTAAAACATATGTGGTCATCGAGAACACAAATATTAAGTGTGGTGAGTTAATTAAACACCTCTTATTGCAAATTATAGGAAGTTGATTTCTTTGCCTCTAGAACTGTGTTTAGAAGTGTCCAGTTGTAGAGACAGTAGAAAATAATAAGTATTTATTCATTATTATAAAATAATGTTTGTTTTATCTAAATGGTGTGTTTCAATGTTGTCGCAGATTGTTCAGTTATAACAAGAAATTCTTCTTCTACGAGCTTAGCCGGGTTCTAGATAGTTAACCGAAACATTTGACAACGCTTGAATGCTTATTTTTACGTCTTTACTCAAGATGGTGCAATGAACATGTTTACAAACAAAACGTCCCTCAATGTTTGATGAGAAAATTGCGCAAATAGCATCAATTGGACTGATGCGTGTTTTTGTTTTTTGCTGAATGATTCCTGGGTTGGATAAAGTTTGGACGTTTTTAATCGTTGATCACAAAGCACATTTCTGAAATAGTGTTTGTCGGTAGAAAAACAGACTTAAGATTTCTTAATGTTTACTTTTTATTCAACATATTAGCTTTTCAAGTTTTTGAATTTTATAAGCATTGCATATCTATTACAGTATTTTAATAATTTAACTGACGAAATTGGCGTACAGTTGAAGCTGTTATCAATTTCTTAAAGTTTTAACANNNNTTTTTTTTTTTTTTTTTTTTTTTTTTTGCAGATTCCTCTTTTCGAAGTTCGGAGCGACGGCCGAGACAATCTGCTCAACGCCGTCATCGTGGCCGGCAACTTCGTCATTCCGGAAGTGCTGGTGATGTTCGGCGACCGAATCTTCCGGGGCAACCGCACCACGAAAGTGAGCTCAGAGTGCCTCAACGCTTTCAACTCGCTCAACTTCCCGCCGCTCGTCACCTTCGGCATCCAAATCGAAGGTGAGAAACAAATCGATTCTTCTTCTCCCGGGGGCAATTTGATAAATGACTATCGATTCTTCTTCTTCTTAATCTTCTTCTTCTTCTTCTTCTTCTTCTTCTTAATCTTCTTCTTAATCTTCTTCTTAATCTTCTTCTTAATCTTCTTCTTAATCTTCTTCTTCTTCTTCTTAATCTTCTTCTTTCTTATTCTTCTTTTTAATCTTCCGAAGAAAGACCGAAGAAGAACCGAAAAATCACTGAATTATTTATCTATGTTCGGAATTTTAACCGTCCACTAAACCTATCATACGTGTAGCTTTGAAGCAATTCTGCCCACTTTTTTTATTAACAATTACAACAAAATCGTTCCCAAATATTTCTCGGAGGTTTTTGATTTCGCGGCGGGAAAAGTTTGGGAGTAAAGAACAGTTATCTATGTAAGTAATGTTATCCCAATAACAACGATTATGCATTGATGTTGATTGTCTTTTGATACAATAGTTATTAACGAAACAAATTGTTAAGAAATCATAAGGAAAGGTGTATAAGTTTACTTTTATTTACGGCAATTACAAATCAATTTTATATTTTATTTGCCATTTATTTCTGTGATTATTTTGCATGAAAGTCTTAATAAATTTTGATCTGTTTCGGTTGCATCAAACAAAGAATTTCATTGGTCTTTGAAAAAACATATTATAATTGAGTTGTGATGCAATTAGTACTATTCTAATTCCTTTAAAGCACTTGTCCTATAATGAAAATTCTTAATCAAAGAGAGTATCGTCGCAAATACGCGATTGAATTACTTGATAATTGAATAACTCATTGTAGTATGGTATTTGTCTACATTTATTGTTTCATACATGTTTATTTCCAATTGCGTTACTTCGAAAGCAGTGCATTTGATTATATTTTAATAATATCGCTTGCGGAAAATTCCAAAACTACAAAATAATGTTTGTGTTGACAGTTAGTCACAAAGACATCTTCAGACAAACTGCGATCGAAAAGTTCTGCGTGCACCCAACCCTTGACAGAAATGTGGGCCTTCTTCGTTTGTTTCCCAGCATCACTGCGGAGACGGTGAGTATATTAAAAAAGATATAACGGTTACGACAATTATGATTACGACACGGTTGATTTGAAACTATCGATTTTATCGATAGTTTCATACATTCAAGAAAAATGTACATTGTGTAGAAAATATAATGTGGATTTTCTCCAGAATATGAAAATATCTCATATTTTGTATCTTAGAAGTGCTTGAGTCATTTATATTTTATGCTTCCCCGAAAACTTCCCTTAATAAAAGTTACAACTATAGTAGTACACCCTAGACTGTAAAATAAATTTAAATTATTTCTAAATTATACAGTCTTTGGCGGGATTCGCCAAGACAACACAATTTTGTAAGTTTTAAATTCGATAGCGTCGAAAATGCATTATTGGGAAATTGAGACAATCCGAAGAAAAGGATTCTTCGCCTTTTTAACTACTTTAGTATGGTTTTATATTAATATCTTACTATATGATGATTTTTTTCAACTTTGATTTCACAAATTGTCTACCCATTTCGTTTAAACAAATGTGGAAAATAATTTCCTTTTAAAAATTAAATTATAAATGAACCGCGTCGAAATGGCCATGATCGCGAGATTTGTCTCTCGAGGCACAGGAGAGGCTTCCCTCCCTCCGGGCTGTCTGATCTGGAAACACTCCAAGCATGGCGCCTTGATGTAATACAACGGCCAGTTGATGACACGTTAATGACGCCCTGTAGAGTGGCAAGGCCTGAAAAACCATCAATTTGTTAATGTACCGAACGCGTGGCCATATCACATTGCCCGACAGTCAGGAGGCTGGAGCTACCTAGAGGTAACCCATGGCTGTGTTGAGGACGCAGCAGTAAATGAAAATGTCAGCGCATGAATGGTGCGCAATGGAAGATTTTTTTATCTATATGGCTCATCTGTTTATGTTTAGCTAATATTTCAAAATATTTATTGAATAGTCCATGAAAACATACAAGTTTTAAAACTCGCGTATTCAGTTGTACAGGATATTCATGAATATACATTGTAAATAACATTGAACAATTTATCAACAGAAAAATATTGTAGTAATTTGTGTATAACCTTAAAAGAATAGTTCAAATATTGAAGTCCCATAAAATAATTTAGCCATCCAATTTTATATTATTATTTTTATCGCGAAGTTCGGATAAAAGGAAGTTGGTCCTTGGGAACACTCCCGTTGTTCGACTGACTAGCCGCGCGTGTGTGTGCAGGTGAAGGCGTTCCTGCAGCCGCCGACGCTGGGCGTGGTGCTCCAGTCGTACGGCGCGGGCAACGTGCCGTCCGACCGCCAGGACATCCTGGACGCCATCGGCGCGGCCACGCAGCGCGGCGTCATCGTCGTCAACACCACGCAGTGCATGCGCGGCGCCGTCAGCGACCTCTACGAGACGGGCCAGGCGCTGAAGGCGGTGGGCGTGACGCCCGGCTACGACATGACGCCTGAGGCCGCGCTCACAAAGCTCTCGTACGTGCTGGCCAAGCACGACTGGGACCTCGACACCAAGCGGAAGGTACGGCGCCGGCGATGTATTGCACACACCGTCTGATATAGGTGAGGCCGCCTTAGGTGATTCAGGACATCAATTGATGGCCCTGTGGTGCCTCTGACCGAGAGGTCGTACGCTTCACGGCCCGACGGTGGCAGGATTTTCGACACTGGCTGGAGAGCTGAGACGAAGTCAGCCGTTGTCCGGAGGTGAATTCTAGAAGCCGGCTGCTCTGATCGATACTTTTCCGTTGTTACTCCTATCGATGTCACGGTCTTTCCTTTCTCTTCCTTGTCATATCCTCTCCGTTTACTTACACTCGTATGCACTACACCATTACACTATCTACTACACTACACTATCAGAACAATCAGTAGCATGGAGCTTGTCTCTTCTGGAGCGTTGCCCCGCCGGTGGGAGATACTTGATTGGGGAAAATCTCCGACCAGAGAAGCCAACGTAGGTTGGCGCCTGATCTCGCCACCCAGCAGGGGAAGATCACCACCGTTTCCCGAAAACATGCATTGCACGTACGGGACTTTGTTTGACCTTAGTAGTTGCCACTCCCAGAATCGCTCGCGAATTAATCCATGGAAGACCTTCCCCTTGCCGTGTGCGCGGCGCGCCCTGGCGTGCCTGACGTGCGGGTGGCGTGCTTCAGATGATGCAGATGAACCTGCGTGGGGAGCTGACGCGCGCGCTGTCTGGCGAGGGCGTGACGGGCGCCTCAGTGGGGGAGCTGGTGGATGCGGTAGCGGCGCACCTGCAGATCTCTGCGCCCCGGGAGCAGGAGGAGCTCAGCGCCATACTGTACCCGGCCATCGTCAACTCAGCCGTCATGCGGCGCAGCGTACCCAAGCTCAGCAGCCTGCGCGAATACGTGAGTCGCTGAGCGCCCAGCTGCACGCTCCGGGGCTCAGGGGAGGGGCGTCCGTCCTAAGCCTGAAACTGGTTACTCACACCCACCCTCGGATTACTTTGCATCAAAAGAAACAAAACTGTCGCATAGTGTTTACATTTGCCTTGTTTTGCAGTTATTGTTATGGTTGCATACGGTTCATCACATGCAAAGTTTTAGCTGTAGTAATAAACCATACGTTACTCAAAAACGTTTGAAATATTGAATTTTTCACGTAATTGTGACACTTGAAGCTTCCCTGATTTGCTGTCGTGGGAAGCACCATTTGGTAGCACTGGCGAGCAGTGGATAGGGGAATTCCTTCTGAGCTCGTGCAATTCCTCGCTGAACTTTTTTTCGGCACCTACAGTTTTGCATATGAACCACATGTGACATAAACTATTACTGAAAAAATTGAAATGGATTTTGACAAGACGCAACAGATTGATTCCTTGTAAGTGGTTATTATTCTAATACTGTTCAAGGTAGTCTTCCCTAGTAATCGCCAACTCTACACGTTCCTCAACTGACCGGGATGTAGCCCCCCTCAATCATATCTCTTTAAGTTTGGGCCAAAATATTACAGCAGGGTGACAGTATTGAGGTTTTGTGAAATGTTAGAATACGTCAAACGGTGATACGTGTATATCCAAAGATACGGTGTAAATGTGTGGACGGTACGTGAACTACTTCTATGTAAAGTTTGGAAGAAGGTAGTCACTTAACTGAGAAGTCAGAGAGCACCGTCTAAAGATTTATTTTTGAAGTACAGACACAAGAACTATTTTGTGTTGCATTGTTATGTCCAATTTCTCCGAAGGTCTTGTAATTATTTTCTATTATGTGAATTTAAAATATTTGTTCACTGAATTTTCCTTCTGTGTTGTAATTATGTACGATGAACATTTAATATAATTTTAATTTTTCAATTTTTTAAATACCTTAATATTAATCAATAACGACTGTCTTAGTGTGTGTTTAATTCATTTATACTCATTACGTTGTGTACATTTTTTTACATAAAAATTATGGAACCAAATTATAGATATGTGTATAGTAATTACTTCAAATCTGCCATGTTAACACTGCTTAGTCACTGAAAATGTAAATCTCAGTTTTTTACATCTCAAATACAATGAGAGAAGATTGCAAATGTGATCAAATAACCATCACCAAATTAGAATTAGGTGTTTGCTGCAACAGCAAATCGTGTATAGAGGAATTAAACTGGTAATTCTTATCTGTTAATGAAGAATTTTGTTTTCATTTGAAATATTGCGTCATATTTTACATTGAACCACGATCGTATCCACAAAATGCATGTCTAATCTGCCGCTGAGCTCTGTTTTTGAATGCTACCTTCAAATTATAGTTAAATGCATGACGAAAGGTATCGGATTGTCTGTACATTTAAGTTGAATATGAGTTGAGTTCACCAGCAAGTGAACTGATAAATCTCTACAATCTGTTCTACTAATGTACTAAAATACTTGAACTTTTGATTTTACATAAACGACTACCTTCCAATATCCCTCACCCTCTAATTGTGTGTTTGTAAGTCCGAATGAAATTAAGATATATTATTGACATGCGCATGACAGGATGTCTGAAATCGTTGCTTTTCTGTTCAATATGAATGTGAGATGACAGAAAGAATTGAAGTTGACTATCTGTCGTTGTTTCAGGGACTTTAAAATCATCTCCGGGTGATTAATAACAATACCTGAATTGTTTTTAAGAAAAGGTTTATGATAAATTATAATACGCACAGAGATAAACGTTATATGATGATAATTCCATTGTTTTAAAGAATATTTCATTTTGTCAACAGTATTTAATTGAGTTGTCCGGCATTGTTTACGAAATATGTTAATATGACAATCTGAAATATTGTATAATGTATGTACTGACTAAAATATGTTTACTCCATGTTTTAAGTAATTCTAATATTTAAATCAGCCGTTGACACTTTGAAAAAACTACAGATTTTTTAAAAATAAATATTTTGGTTAAAAGAACACAGTCGTGCGATAATAAATATTACAATAAAACAAATGTAAATTAATATGGGATATTATTTTTTCTAGCTTTCCTTATATATGTATAGAAATAATTTCTAAACCTTATGGGCTCTCTGAACTCTTTAATAGAATTTCACAATGATATAAGTTGATCATATAAGATATTTTAGTCTTCTGGATGTTTTGTTTATCAAAATCTTAATGCAGGTACTATTGAAATTTGTGTATTTTTTGTAAGTACATATTTCATACGTTCATACAAACTCTTTGATTAGTAAGCATTATACTATTCCAGTTTTATATTATAAACAGTTTTGCATTATGCATAACTGCAGCAATATTTGAGGCGGTAGCAGATTCAATCTTGTTTTGTTGAATTATTAGTGATTACATGCCATCACTTTTAGAAATAGTTTCTCGTTGCATGAGAAAATGTTTTGTGTGTACTTTTATTAACAAAATGAATTTTCAAATTCATCGTCAAAATGTTTAAAGCGTCATAATCATCATTCGTCATAACCCGAAGGAAACAGAAGAATTCTATATTTATGCTTCTGAACATATGAGTACGTACTTTCATGTACATGTACATGGATCTACAGTACGATTTCTGACCAAAGTTTTCGTTTCTTGTAAAAAGAGAAAATGGACTACTCGGCTCAAAACCTCCACACAATGTCGAATTAAATACTATTATCGAAGTACAATTTTTGTCACTTTAATATAGTGTTCATTTTTTATTTGCCTCTTTCTGGCCAAATGTGTTCCAAGAAAACAATTTCACTCACCCGATGTCCTTCTTTCGGCATGATGCGAATGTTTATTTTAGAACAAATTCGATTATTAATTTAATATCAGTTCATATGCTTTAAGAAGTGTTCTTAATGAATGAACGAGTGTTAATAGCAGTTAACAGACCACCGGTTCCAGTAACTCATTCAATGAAAGAGCAACGGTTTCGCTCTCACGTTTGAAAAGGTCTCTACGTTTTCAGTTTGATGCCTTGGGTAAATTGCAATATATTTTAACAAAATAGTTATTTATGATACGAATGGTAAAAATATAATTTTATTTTGCGAGAAGAAAATGTTGGGATACGAGGCCGGCAGGCCGAATTCTGCGAGTAAAATAAAATCACTTTTATGATGTGTCTGGTTTTTAGACATCATAACAGACTTTACATTTATTTTAATTGAGGTATACATAACTTTCAAATGTGATTTGTATATTAAGAGTATAAATCACTTAATGTACCATGTTACATTAACATCAGTTGTATAGCCGGTACTATTTTATTACCTTCGTTGCATTAACCGTCTTAGTTTTAGCACTTTTGCTGAAAAAATGAGCTTTTAGCGCGCTGTGCATGTTATAGAAGTAACTGCTTTTACTAGTGGCTGTGTAAAAATAAATGTATTTACTCGCACTTATCGCCAAGAAAAGGTTTTCTGAGGAATGGGGAGGGTGCGAGGAAGGATAGGATTAGAGCGTGGAACCGTTTGAAAAGCGAAAGCGAGAGCGGCGCTGTGAGGAGTGGGTGTGCGCAGGGGCTGGACCTGACGGCGGCGAACGCGGACGGGCGCACGCCGCTGCACGTGGCCTGCTGCGAGGGCAGCGTGGACGTGGTGGAGTTCCTGCTGCTGCGCGGCGCCAACGTGCACATGAAGGACAGGTAACGCTCAGCCCACGCAGCGCCACAGCGGCCCTGACCCACTAACTTCTTTCTTTTATTGTAAAGAGTGCAACACATTTGTTTTGTTGTTATGTATTTTTCGATGTTTTCTTTTATTCCTCTATTTTTTTTCAAGATGCAGCACGTTGGAATTAAAGTTAACCACTAAAATATTATTTTCTTTCATGATTAATGTAGAATAGCTTCATAGCCACAATATATTAATGCCTCCTACATAATTCCTACTACATTTCCTTTACCTTTAGTGAGACATAATTGGTCAATCTAATCCTGGGATTCATTAAGTTAATGTATTTGCACCATGGATAATGCTATATGTACGTTTTCCATACGCCATTGCGTGTGCGCAGATTAATTTTCTTAATGTGTTATCTTTTACAAGACATTAATGAAAAGACTTTGCTAGTGTTATTAGCCAATATTGCAAATCTATATTCATATTGAAAACAAATGTTTATTCTTGTTTTCTCAACCTAGATTCGATAACACGCCGTTGCTGAATGCCATTTCTTTTGACCATCATGAAGTAATTAAAATACTTGTAAAATGCGGAGCGCATATCATTGGACCAAGGCAGAATATTGGTGACAAATTGTGCAGGTAAATTTAATTTATAATAACTCTTTCATTCACCAGATTCAAAACTAACCTGCAAGTATAAAAATCAACGAGAATACTTTGATTATTGTTTCAGTGCTGCTGCAAAGGGTCAGTTGAAACGATTTGTGTCATATCAGTTGGCTGGCGCAGATTTTAACCAGGTGGACAGCAGCCACCGTACAGCTCTGCACGTGGTACTGTATATACTATAACTAACTTGCTACAGTATTAACGAAAAAACACTGCTATTCAATTGCATACAAGCGAGAAAAATTAAATAGTAAAATAAAATGCGAAATCTTTTAAAGAACGCAATACCATTATTCTTTCATTATTATCAACAAATTTCCTGTTTATCGTGAAATACTCTTATTCTAATTGTAATGTGCAAATTACAATTAATCTGCAGTTGCCTAACTGCTGAAGAAACCGTAGTGCGTTTAGAACTAATCATTGAATCATTACCCTCATTTTTTAGATATTTCTTGATTATTCCTGGTTACGTATTTACAAATATGATATAAAATATATCTGCAATATGAAGATACATTAATATAAATTCAGTTTAAAATTGAGTTATAATTCAGTGTATAATGAGAAATGTAATACAGCCCATTAAGTGTACTTTTACTTGTTAATACATTCAAGTATTACAAAATAATTTTAAAGAAAGATAATTAATTATTGTTTCTTTTACAGGCGGTTCTTCATAATCAAGAGACGATTGTTCGCTTTTTAATTGACGTAAAAGTTAATTTAAAGTGCAAAGATATGCTGGGGGAAACACCATTGTCTATTGCAATCAAACTGCGACATGATAAAATTCGAAAAATTTTAGAGGAAGAGATACATCATTTGTCGTAGTGTAGAAGAATTACACTTCGTCTTGTCAAGTTAAAAGTTCCTTATTTTATAATCTTTGCCCAAATGATTATTTATTGATATGCTGTGAAACAGTGTCAAATTATTTCAAAATATCAAGCATTACGTTGTCATAAAAAATATTTTATTTTATGATCAGTTACTTCAACACTTGTACATAACATTCTCAAATTAAGAAAAATATAAACAATAAAACTATAAGAAAAAGGAAAAAATAAGACTATTTATTTTATTAAAGTTACCCAAAAATACTTTAGAGGTATTTTTTAACTCTAGCATTGTATTTTATTACATGCCTTTTGTTTTTAAGCACATTTTCATGAATCTAACATGAAGAAAATCAAAAATATTATTCAAACATCGAAAAAAATTCCATTTCGCCAACTCTTACTTCTCTAGAGATTGAACAATTACGTTTTAATAGATAGATAGATTTATTAATAATTCTGCAATTAAGTGTGGAAACTTGGTTGCAGATACACTAACTTAATACAGAATACTTAACAACTATACAAACTCTTAAACGTTACAAATCACATGAACATTTCCACCGTGCAATCTTTCATAGACTCCACTTACCAAACTTCACTTCACCACACGTCACCGCACTGCACATAATAAATAATAATTAATAATAAATAATAATAATATATAAATAATACAACACTCGGCCTAACCGACAAAAGTTGACACCAAGATTTTCTTCACACCGTTTGCCCTGATTCTGAAGTTAGTGAAGCAAAGAAATAGGCGACCAGCGTCGAGCAATTGTTCAGAAAAAATCTCTCTCTTGCACCAGTTTTTGGAAGGCAATCAAGGAAGAAGTGAGAAATTCATGCCTTAAGCTCATCAGAACCTGTAATCTGAGGGCAGTGGAGATATCATCTGTGCAACGCAGGATGACAATGGGGAACAAGCATGTCAGAAAGTATGGATGATAAGAGTTAGAGAGAGGTTGGAAAATTCGCAAATGTAATTGGCATCGCTCTTGCGGAATCTTGAAGGAACTGACCGCACTGAACCGGCTATCTTTACATGTCCCGTAGGACAAAAATTGCTCGAGAAGGGATGTAGCAAGAGTCAAATCAGCGTCTCTGGAAATGAAGGAGTAAGTAGCTGGGCCACGCATATTGTATTATGACCATCGTACAACAAAGACCGATCTTTGAAGGAAAGTAAGCAATGGGGGCACAGGGGAGCATAGGTTATTGTGCTGGCGGGTTGTGGCTATCCAGATGTAACGGTTCCAGCTTCTCAGCCGCGAAGCAACTTCACGCAATGATTCGAAGTGAAAAAAGAAATGCCACCAATTGGGAAAGACGGCTGTGAATCGTAATAGAAAGCATAGGAGAGAATATTGGAAAGACTCACACAAATTTAAAAATGGAATATCTCAGAAAAACTGAGAAGAAAGGTGAATGTAACATCCTCATGCAATTTATCAAATTTCCTACGAAGTCACGAGACCCTTGAATTCAATCAATAACAGAAACCATCTTTGACACCCTACGACAAAAGCCTTTTGGGCGTTAACAAAACGCCTTCGATCGCTACAGGAATTGCACTACGGAGGGAACAGACAGAATTCTACTTTTTAACAGAAAACCAGAAAGGCATTCTAGAGCAGGAATAAAATGTCAAAGGGCAAAAGGGCTTGTAAATGATATGGAAGTCAAAGCTTTCCTCAAAGGCACAAAATAGCAGGACTTTTGGAAGCCCTATCTGGTCATCTGCCCCTGTGTCCCCAAAACCCACGATATGAACGTGGATTGAAATGGAATGTGAACAGACAACCGAGATATCCCTCTAATGTGTGAACCAATCATTCACCGTGAAAATTGTCCTAAGTGCAGCTTTGACACAAAGCACATAACTGGAAGGCACAGGCAGTGATGGCGCCTCCACTATTATTGCTTCAAAAAATTTACCACACTCACCAATCATATAAGCTAATCATAATTCAATATTTTCTTCACATCCAGAAAATGCTACTCCACTTCCTCACTGAAGGTAGAACATTTTTGTATATTATATTAGAGGGTGGACACTAAAGACACCCTCGAAGTACCAGGCCTATAACCTGCCTGTCACGAACTTTCTAGCAAACTGCATTAACATCTGTGTTCCGCAAATGATGATGACACACATTGAGGAACAGAACATCTTAAGCAATGAACAGAAAGGATGTAGACCTAGGATCTCAGGGATGCACAGGAGGCACGCATTATACGACTCTTTGTATTAATGGGGTCAAAGTGCTTGAAAAACAAAGAAACTTGTAACGGTCATGCTACATAGATTAACGCCTAAAGACATTTCGACACCGTGCCCATTCTTGGCGTCCTTCAATGTTTGATGTATGCAAGGTCCACCCGTTTATTCTCTAAAAAACTTCCTTGAAAACTGCGAAATGAGTCGTGGAATACAAAACTGTAGTTCTCTAATGGAAAACAATCTGTCCCACACGATACTAATAGCAACATCGCGCCGGGGATTTTTCCCGGGTGAACTCTTAAGCCCTTTATTGTTCTGTTTAGCCTTGAATCCCCTCTCTACTGCTACTTAAACTTCATCATAATTATGGAATCGCTCTTAAATAAAAGGGGGGACTCTAAACTCTTCTTCGTGACTGCACATCTCCTTTACAATGGATGACCTGAAGCTCTATAGGAGAACACTGAAGAGTCATAGTGCGGCAAACTATAAACGTTGACGGAGAAGGTTCAATGACGACATTAAGATGAAGATTCGGTTTGAATAATCATGCAGGAGAGGGTGGAAATATCATTCCGGGTCCATATGCAGAGTTTATAAAATTTGGCAACTGATAATGACCAAAGATTACCTTCATGGAATCCCCATGAAACTTACAAATACTTGGGTTTCCAAAACAGTCACGTCCGAATCAAACACAACTGTTTACTAAGAAATATTACAACCAACTGAAGTGTGTAAACGATGCAGGCTCATGGACTCTTAAAAACTCACTCTCTGCTAGCTAACACTTGTGGCAGGCCATCAATTCATTTGTTATTTCAGTGCTGACATACTCCTTTGTGCGTTATTAAATGGGCAATTACAGGGACCCTTCGACAACCTCCAGAGAACAATTTTCGAATACCGCCTTATGGACTCGACACCCTGAAAACATTCATCCCCATTCAAAGTACTGAAGCGTTTTACGCTTCTCAAGGTCGCAAGGAGGGCGAGGTTATTGTAGATCTCACTAATATTACAACAGCTTCTCAAATTGCTTTCACTCAGAAGATACTTCTTTGGAACATTGTGGGAGAGTTTTTCAGACAGCCAGTGAAACGGCAGTTTGATAAATAACTATAGTCCTCTGAACTTGAAAAAGCTTGATCCGCACTGTTCAACCAATCATTTGAACGGATAGAGAAGATAACCTTATGGAAAGGCAAAGGGCACTGCATGGAAGGTACCCTCACGGCTTTGAGTAAACCAGAAGTCGAACATCTCCTGCGTCGCAACGCATGCTCCAGCGCGGGGATTCCTCTTTCGCGGAGACAGAAGGCGCTTCATGATGAAGCTATCCAGGACCAAGTGGTAACGCAACATTGAACTACAGAAAACACATTCTGAGAGATGCTACCATTCAATTCCGACTCGTGTAGAAGTATGTGAGGCTGCAAAGCGAAACTATACAACACGTGCAAGTGGATGTAAGCAGCCTACGCATCAGGTGGAATACAAAAAGAGGCATGAATGAAGTGGCGAAGCCAGGTACGACCAATTATTGCGTTGATAACGGGCTTACTCGCACTTCACGTGCCGTAAATTATAAATGATGTGCCTCAAGAATGTGCTTGAAAGTAGTGAGGCACACACTCTATCTGGATCGTTCCAATTTATCACTGACAGACATGTAGGCGGGCAAATGAGACCACGATACTAACGTACATTGATAGAAAACTCAACAGCAGGTTTTTCCTTATAGCGATATATCAATAACCCCCATACCCACTAACATTATCGGGAAATTACAAGAGAACAGATCGCAGAAGTAATACCGATCTCGCCTATTGAAGTCGCAAACTCAGTGTCAACTTCATAAAGTGACAACTGTAGGCTATAATAATATCAAGCTAGCGGGAGTGATCCCGAAAATGACACTTCGGGCACTGGAGTGGTCTTCCACTTGATACCAAGGAAATGTATATAATATGCAAATAGATCAGTAATTTTGAATACATGCGTATTTTCAGAAGCCATCTGAACCTTCAGTAAAGCAACCACAGCACCTGGGTCATGCATACGCTTGTGGGTGTGGGTTGACATAAATTCCGACCAGTAGATCTGTGAATTAATGTATAATAATAATAATAATATAATAATAATAAATAATAATAATGCTAATAATAACAATAATAATAATAATACTTAATTACAAATACATTCAAATAGAGTAGAATAATCAAGTAAACAAGAAATGGTGGATCGAGATCAATGAAGGCAAATACAATATATTCTAGAATTCGTTTTCCTCCACGGTTAATGGTTTCACCATCGTATCATTCTTGAAACAAGGAACTCTTGCACCCACTATGCGTTTCCTAATTTTTTCCAGTAGGTCGCAGAGTTCTGAACACCTCGCACGATTTGTCAATAATAACAGCCGTGATACCAACTTTCACACGTAGATTGCTTCTAACTTGTATTCAAGATGGGATCTAGCGATCAAGTATCAGGGGGTAAGAGTTTTTGGGGGTGATTTGCTTGCCAATCCTATCACTTGGCATATTGTCCGTGCTCTTTACAGGTTCGAAGTGAAAATACCAAGTGTGTTAAATGCCGGCTAAAACGTTTTGGTCGGCCTAAGGTGCTATTATAACCCATATAATTTATACAAACACGTGATTCTGGTGTTGGCATATCGTTATAAAATCATATGAGTAAAAAAATAGAAAGTGGGAACAAATTCTAAATGATCTTCAAATTGTTATCTTGTAGGTAAGAACTTTAATATCATAAATGGTTATAGGTTTGACTAATTTAAAACATCCATTAATAAAACGATTGAAGAAACGTGGCAAATCACAGCATCACAGTACACGCTGCCAGATGCGAGAAATACTGGTTTGCCAAGCGGTTGAAGTGGTGGGCTTTTTGACATAAACACAATTCTCGTTTGTTTCTGATGCATTGCGTGCAAAGAATTTACTTTCGGAAATGTAGCTTCAGAGGCCGCTGTTCAGCGCAACAACTTAAGCCTTCACTTTTGAGAACAAACTACATTCGTGGAGAACGAACGAACGTACCCCTCTCAAATTTTAATCCTGTTTTTAGTATTTTTTTATCAATAACAGTTGGTTTTGATCAAATGAACTCATAATTAGATTCAGTGTCAAGTAAAGTTGACTTACCACTGATAGAGATGGAAATGTGGGATTGTCCGTTGAGTGGCGCCTCTGTGTATCCATGAAGACGCAGGCGACGGTCTATCAAGTCACATAGAGTCGCCACAGTCCCCGCCGACCTACGCTGCCGATAGAACGTCAAGAGCAGTGCAAGCGGTGTCGGAGGCGCCGCAACACTCTTGGAGTCGAATGGAACATAGTGGTTGATAGACCATCAACGATAACTAGCATTCTCTTTTAATTTCTCAATAAATGTTTTTCATTGGGCAGGAAATTCTCCGATAAAAAGAGCATGTACGTCTGGCAACATTGCACCTTCTCGCGACCTGCCAGTACCAAAGGCAGGTATTACACTGCCAAAGAACATTGCCGAAGCTGATTCATAATAGAAAATTTTACATTGTAGTAGCTAATATTTTATAAAAGATTTCTTTAATAAAAGTGCTTTGAAAAGTACTCTGAAACGTCAAAATGTTTTCACATATATACTATCAGCTCTTCATATCGAATGTTTCTTAATTAATGATTGATGCTTCACGACATGGAGCCCATGGCATCGCCCAGAAACATTTTCTCTTTTCTTCTCCGGCATTAAAGATAGGTTAGATATTATCGAGCATAAAGTAACACAAACGCAATGATTTATACGTCATCCATCTTGAATAGTGATCAAACCTACATGGAAAATATTGGACGCAATGTAATATGTTCGTCGAAGTTCCCTTCATCAAAATTCAAATACCTACCACAAAGTTCTTCAAAGCTCTTCATTTGTCAAACATATTTTGTAGTGTAATACATGTCAAAGGAAGATTTCCCGAAGTAAAACACTCACATTGATGGTCAAGCTAGCAATATTTATTTACTTTACTAACTTCTTAATACACCCTGAAATAATGCAGACATATTAAGATTTCACTAATTTGGCAGTAGATCTGTAAAAATATGTAATCTTGTTATGTTACGTATTCAATAGTTGAGTAGTTTCCTATGCATTAAAACATGCACTATTCAAAAGATCCGAAGATCAATTTCCTCTACAATATACCTCGCTACTAGAGGTCAGTGTTTTATTGGAACCATTGAACGAGTCTTCAATAAGTGGTCACTGAGGAACTTCTTGAAATGTTAGAGCTTCTCCGTTAAACTTGCTTGGGTTAGTTTCATTACTTGTCATCTTCTTACCAAATTGGAAAGCTCATCCAACGCCCCCTGCAGCCCGCCCTCGGGCAAGAGGCAGGCGTCGTACAGCCGGGAACAGTTGGCGCCCATTCGCCCCTGGTCGATGGCCCCGCTCACGGCAGTGCCCTGCAGCGCCCCGACCAGCCACGCGTTGCTACAACAGAGGGCGTTTTAGATGGATTGGGGAGTTGATCATACGCGCGCGCAGCCTATAACATAAGGGGACACAACTACATTTTTTGCCTCTTTCCTCCTTTGGACCCCCATTTCCTTTAAAAAAATTATATTTACAAGTGACATTTTATTATGTTTTGTTTATTAATTAATAACATGATAATGCAATAATATGCTCTAAATGATACAATTAATAAAAACACTTGGTTTTAAGATGAATCATCACAGGATTTCCAGATGGTTTGGAGACCTTCTTCCCGTATGTCGAGTATCAATTTTCCAAATTATTAGCCTAAAACAGGGGGAAAATCAGGAATTGATCATATTGAAGAAAATATATTTTTTTCGTAAGGTGGGGGGGGGCAGATTTTAAGATTAAATTTGATTACTTTTCTCGTAATTTTGCCTGAAAGTACGAACAAGAAAGTATGTGCTGTTTTAGCTTGACTAGTTTGTGTTTACAACGGATACGAATAGTAATTCTGTCCAATATTTAAAAACTGTGAAATTTAGAGACTAAGCGCGATAGAAAGTGCTCGCTCGCATCTCCTATTTTTGCATGTCCCTCCGTTAATTAAAGGCCCCAGCCGCCACTGCCCAAGAATAAATAAATTGTTATTGGAAAAGTACTTATTAGTTATTCATTAAACAAAAGAATACTTAATAAAATAGGAAAGGCATTCCATTTCGGTGTAATAGGGTTTCCTTCAATCGCTAATTAAAATGTTTTTCATACGGGTTTTGCAACAAAAATGAGAGAAGTAAGATACAAGTGACATGACTTTATTGATATTCAATTACTTTTGTGCAACAAATATGCATGTATTTGGAGCCTCGAAAGAGCTTCAGTCAGCAATTTCTATGTATTACATGTGATTTTTTCTTCAAAATAGACTAACCCAAAAATCTGCAATTAGTGACTTCCTCTACTTGGCAATGATTATATTAATAATCAAATGCAATTCGAAATTCATTGTGAAGTAAAGACAAACCTTCCACATCTAAAGGCAAATATTCCACATCTTGTCATTAAAGACGCAAAGAAGCCCTTCCTGAGAGCTCAGAACCGCGCAGTTAAATGCTCGTCATCAGAGTGATGTGTCATCCCAGACATTTTCTTTTTTATTTCGACAGAGCTCCGTCATTGGCTGTAAAGGTATAAATCATTTTGTTTCTTGCTGAATAGCAATCTTTTCCTTTCTCTTGCCATTTCCCGCGGTAAAGTAATACGTTCGTGTACCCATGAACAATTCTGGACCTCTATGATGCAGTGTACAGTTCAAGTACCATTCATTTGAAATTGAGTTCCAGTTTGATGCTATTTCCATGCTCACAACAATTTGTTTTTAAACTCAGAATGTTCGCACGATTTCCAATACTTAAAATTATTTTCATATGTGGCACAACGTTCGTAATACACGAAGATCTTCCCGTTTGTGAATAGTATTTATTTCTTGTAACAAATATGAGAAATTACAGAAGCTTATTACACACGTATGTTTCGTTCATAAAGATCATATATTTGCCATTCGACAGTTTGTTCAATCAGGCGAGCAATGAGTGCCGTTAATTTATTTATCACAGTCATCTACTAGACAATAAAATTAATAAATTGTGTTTAAACGTTGTTTAAAATGGAAGCAAGTTTCCATTTACCTCCCCCACCACCGCGTCTTCCGGTCTCTGTTTGGCCCGCTCCCTCCTCCCTGCAGTCCCTCGTCCGCCTCCACCCGCAACGCTGCACAGAAAGCCTAAATGCTTGGGAGCAACTTTTTTTTGTTCCTTCTGAGGAAGGAGTTTCGACAATTCTTTCCTACTAGTTATATACGTCATATTTAACTACTATGGTAGTACATTACTACTATGGTATTACATTGTATGCTCCTAATAAAGCACACATTCCGAATTTTAAGTTTCCTGCCTCAGTTTTTTTTTTTTGCTCTGCATTGTTATATCAGAGATTCCACTCTTATAAAAGACATTACTCGGCGTTATTTTTCACAATAGTCGATAAAGTACTCCTCGCTCTCTATACTCCGCTCGATTCGAAACGGATCTTTAATTATTGGGAGTGTCGAGAGATACAATATAGTATAGAGAGGAAATTTATTGAAGGAACATTAAGAATACGATTTCGTATTTTCAGTCGTAAAATCTGTGTTTTAGTTTCTTTTGGTTGTTAAGTTCGCACAGATATCAGGCTTGTGATCTATTGGTGATTAAGATGATTCCAGTGGCGAACAAATATATGCAATTTTGAACCTGAAAATATCCAAAAAAATTAACACATTTTTTTCTGTAATAAAATATATTGCATTTATAGAAAAGTCCAGCTATTTGCATTAAAACATAATAGATTTTGAGTTCTAATTTGTGTGTGGACTTGTTCTATACCTCATATCAGAATTTTCTTCCTCAATGCAATTCATCGTTCCATTTATCATCATGCAATTTAAAGATCTTTAAGTGATGTCATGTAGTTCATCCCTCAAATTAATGATCATTAAATGATACCGTGCCCTTTTAAATATAGGTTTCTGAGCATGGCTCAAAGGCCACAATATATATATATATATATATATATA